ACAGATGAGTGTTTTTTATCCTAAAATAATAAATTGTGGTGATCACCGTATCATTTCCTGATATTCAAATCAGATATTTCTAGCAAAATGCAAATATTAGCATGCGTTGGTGTAAACAGATCGCCATTGATTTTTTCAGTAATAGTCATATCCTGGATGGAAATCTGGGGCGTTGGGATACTGGACCGTATCCCAACGCTGACGTCATTTTCACTCTGTATTCAATGCTAAGTGGAAAGTGCGTATAAATACAGGATATATTTAAGTCACATGGACCAATCAGATTGCAGGGAATTTCACCATCATGGAATAAATAATGATATCTGTACGAGCGAGCGGTATACGTAGCCCGATTTATCGGGGACTTTAAGTGATATAAGTTCTGATTACTGTGACTATTTATAAAATCAAATTATACTCAGTCTGGTTCCAATTCATGTGACTATTTATACTATCTTGGATTATACAAGTTCCAATTACTGTGACTACTTATACTATGATCTGTCAGATAATACTGGTTTCAATTACTGTGACTATTTATATCATATTGGGTAATATAAGTGCTGATTCCTGTGACTACTTATATGATCTGCCAACTAATACTGTTTCCAATTACTGTGACTATTAATACTATATTGGGTTTTACAAGTTTCAATTACTGTGACTACTTTTGATCTGTCAAATAATATTGGTTCCAATTACTTTGACTATTTATACTATATTTGGTACTATAAGTTCTGATGTCTGTGCCTACATTACTTGATATAAAATCTCTTAAACAATATACTAGATCCCATTACTGTGACTACTCTTAAAATATATTGAATGATATACTATGAAATATATGTACCAATTAACCCTAATGTCTGCAGGATGGGGGGAGTGTCAACAGTACATTTTTGCATGTTTTTGTATCTCCGTTGATATTTCCGTGAATCGCGTTTCCATCACGAATTAAAGCGAAAACCATTTTTATAAAAATGCTGAATGGATATCGATGAACTTTTTTTGCATATTTCTGAATGTCTATACCAACTGTTGTAATATAATTATGACGATGTCATTTTCCAAATTCTAGATATAATTTTTCATTGTCCCCTGCCCCCATTGTTCAATGTCACTATTTCGATATTTGTGCCGTTACTAGGTGGTTGCTAAGCAACATCATGGACTGATATTATATCGGAACTATACCAAGTCATACATTCATACATCTGCATACTAAATCACTGATTGGCATTTGTTGTAATTCTTGATTGTAATGCTAAAGACAAAAAGAGAATGAACTTCAAATTGTTGACTATTCGCGGTACCTGCTTCTTTGAATGTGTGAATGTGTTTAACTTCAGTTCTAGAAAAGCTTTTACCATGATTTTAGTTTTATTTCGAAAAATCTTTTTTTAAGGCAGCTCAGCAATTTTTAGCACTTAAATGTTTGTGAAAAAAAGTTGACAATTTGTTCACAAAATGTCAAGAATGTACAACCCCTAGGTCACGTTGACCTCGATTTGCCCTTTGTTGACCTACTTACCTAAAAAACAATAAATTCTGAAGAGGTAATTGAATAACATTTACAACAATACCAACAATATTCAAATCAGACAAGTAATAAAAAATTGCAAAAATCCCTCCTGACTTAGTGTAACACAGTTATAAAAAGTATGCAGCCATGTTATAAACGGTTGCAGACATTAGGGTTGAAGCATACGTGCAAAAAGAAGAGTCAATGTTTAATTATCATAATAGTAATCATCGATGCTACATTTATTCAGCAATATTTCTTTAGTCTCCTTCTGCTGAATCTTGGCCAACTCTGTATGCTTGAATACAGGTATTTCCCTGGACATGCCGTGCAACTAGCATCTCTGTGACCAAACAGTTCGTAATTCGGGCTTATGTAACCCTGTAATGATAGAACATCAAGACTCAGTACAGTGAATGGCAGATGAATTATTTGAAGAGATAATGTCAGACCTAACAACTAATGTAAGACCTGGTACCCATCTGGTTTGATCATGAAGAGCAAAATGATGAATTGAATAGTGGTCATATAACCATACCGAACTGTTATAGAAGCGCTATAAATTTGAATGGTGAAGCGAGTAGATCATCTCCCACTTTTACTTACTCTGGATATTCCACATGCAATGACGTCCTTTGCAGCTCTCTGGGCAGCAGCATTTGCATTCCTATATTCAAAGTTGCCTATGAATGAGATCGCGATGGCGTTTCGGTTATATCCGTATGTGTGTGCACCTTCGGTGCTGAACCCACGACCTTCGTATGCGTTACCATCCTCGCCAACCAAGAAATTGTAGCCAATATCGGACCATCCTAGGAATATATATTGTTCTTAAAAAGTCTAATATCGGTACAACATATCATGATGGTTTAACCATAATCGGTAATTTAGTACTATTTTTCTACTTTATTCACCGTTGATAAAATTAATGTATTTTGTATTCCGTACAAGTAGTCTAGAACTAATTGATCAACTCTCGTATTGATTGCATTCAAGCAATAATAGCTTACTATTTCGGTCCATGTGATAATTCTGATGCCCCCTCGCCAAACGTGAACATGAAGACTTCGAGTTACAGAAACTTCCTGTTGTATGATGGATGAATACCATATTGACTGGAGTTCGAATTGAAGACCTGCCCCTTGCTGGCCGTGCTCCCCAACCTGCCCTTGATATAATCGCAGAGCAACCTCGCCCGCCACCACCGGCACTCCCACCTCCACCTACAGTAAGATCATCGAGATAAGAAATTAAAGTTGAGGGTATATATAAAGGTTATACCTAGGAAGGGATTGTTTATTGGATTTAGATTTATATTGGAACATATCATCATCCCAACGGATAAACCAAATATACAATTACGATTTCTCCCGATTTTCTTTTTTTTGTTCGACAACTACATGATTGTATGTGTAATAGATAGGAATAGCAATATAGTTTGATAGTATATCATAATTTGTATATTTATTCACCGCTAATCACCATGGAGATCGAGTTACAAATTACAAATTGAAATTATGAATAAAAATATACATATTTAAAAATAGTGAACAGTGTTATATCCCCCAAGTTCGATGACTCAGGACAAAAAATGGAGTTGTCATACCACCAACAAATTTCTTTTGATTGTCACAGCCAGAATAATTTCTCTGTTTCTAACTGCTAGTTACTTGACGAGCTTGTTATACAAAATCTCTATTTTTCACATGTCCATTTACACTTACCGCATCGACTGGTTGCAGCTTGGTTGAGGTACTTCCCTGCTACCCAACCCGTCCTTCCATTGTATGCGATAGAATACCAAACATAGCCATCCCTCCATTGTCTCTGTCCAGTGTTTTTTACGCATTGTCCATTGGATAGAGATCCGATAACGGTGTATCTGAGACCACCTATAGAAATATTACATACAATGCAATGCCAAACTATCTAAAGATTACCGTTCTCAAACATTTGCTAGGATACAAACAATAGTATTATTTACGCTTCACACAATTCATTTCTTCCTTCGTATTTCTGTTACTATCTTCGGTAAATAATTCATGTGGTAATGAGCATGAAAGGACATTTATGCATTATCATTACTGAGATTCCAATTAAAATTGTCAAAAATAACATACCATTATTCATGTGGTAATGAGTATGAAAGAACATTTATGCATTATCATTACTGAGTTTCCAAATAAAATTGTCAAAAATCACATACCATTAGATCGTACATTTAGACCAAGTCTGGCTGTTGAACAGACACATGTGCCGGAAGGTAGATATTTCCCATTAAGATCCGCCCTACATTCATTCAACATAAGAAGTCCGAAACCAACCAATAACAACCACTTCATGGTGTATATTGGTGTTTGATAGTGCTAAATATGTTCTTAATTGAACTGATATTGTAGGTATCTTGCCTGCAACCTCCCTGCTTCTGATTTTATAAAAGTGATACGAAACGATTGAATTGATTTTTGATAGATACATCTGATTGAAGTTGTTCTAAAATGGCATTACTCGATTATATTCAAGGAGAGTGACTGTCACATCCCGCCACATCCCGTTAACGGAGCGATGGCGCTGTGAACTAATATCCAGAAGCCAAAAAGTGCCTGATAGACGTGCTCAGATAGTGCCAGATAGACGTGCTTAAAGGCGCACTTTGGGAATTTTCAACATTTTTGGACAAAATAAAGACTTACATTTAAATTTCATAGTATGTCCAATGTGTTGATAAGAACCTTATCTTTCATTTGACACCAGCAACAGCTCAAATGGACAACATCAAAACTTACAATAAATTATCAAAAAATATTTTTGATCTGTCAAGCTTTATATATCAAGTTTTTATCAATGTCATTTAAAGATGGCAGAGTTGTTTGGATTACATGATACATTCATTTTTATAGAAGTGTCGCCATCTTTTAAATCAATAGTAATTTGAAACTTGCACTTTATTTAACATGTGCATGCATGTCTAATGATCTCTGAACTTCAAATGCTTTTTTCTATGTGAGTTATATTTTTCTTGGTTCAACATTAAAGCAAATCAAACTTTGTGTCATATTTGAGCTAGGGTGTGAGTAACACGTTTCAATGATTACTTTTTTTATTTTTTCTCCTAAATTAAGTATAGTGCAGCTTTAACAAGTACATGTAAGTTTCAAAACAATTTTTAATGGATCATTTTCTATTGTTTTATACAATGTCTTGTAGTATAGTTAGACTTATTTTTTGTACATGTACTAAATAATATATGCCATATCATTAGATCTCAAGAGTCATTGAAATAAGATCTGGCTAACACATTGATTGATAATTGCTTCGGTTTAAAGGTCTCGTGTTCATTTCGAAAATATATATCTAGATATTTAAGCGATGCAATTATCTAAAATTTGAGGAGAATTTTAATTATATTTTAAAAAATTGGCACATTTATTTGCCTTCTTTTTTGTATATCATTTTTTATCCTTTTTTATTTATTTTTTTATTTCAGAGAAGAAAAAACATGTTAAAGCAATAGTCATTAAGGATAAAATATTGCATATTTGCATATTTTATCCTTAATGACTAATGTTCTCCAATATATTTTTTCATCCAACAAAAGATTTCTGAGAAAGACATTGATCTTGGCCATGGGATAATGTCGTTATGATATGGGGAATATGCCTCGGATTATATCGATATTTCCCCCTGTCGCTGTTTCTTCGGGAAATATAGAAATTATCCTTGAGATATTTCCCATATCAAATCCCTCTTAGTGAATAACAAATATTTATCTCCCTCCTCGTAGAATATGTGTACACATTTCCCCCGTCCATAAAGCCCCCTCCTTATGAGTGCAAATGTACGTTTACATCAACTGACACATTAACCTAAATCATGTAAAAATCGTATACACTAATTATTCTAAAATGTTGATTAATGATAAAGTATCGATTATTACCATCGACAGGAAAGCTAAGACTTACAGACAATTGTATTTTCTGGCGGTTGTTGTCTTTTGTATGTCTTCAGGTGTGTATTTTGCTTTTTTAATGAGCACCTACACATGCCTTATATATTGGTTTTTGTGTTTGTTGACTTTAATTTTATTGTTATATTTATGGTGCAGTTACTTATTTGATCAAAACATAAACAAGGGCTGGTCCATGTATTCTGATGAAAATACTCGTTGGTTTTTTATTTACTCAATAATGCAATTATTTACTCAATCTAGGCAGATGGCATGTAACTATACACTATTTGTTACCATTGGAATGGTATACTGAACAATGAAACTACTCCAAGAATAATGAAATAAGTCTTATTTTATCTGTATGATAAGCAAAGAGAACACAAATAACTAGACATGTAAATTGAACAAGTTCAATTTAAGACTCCAGATTTAAAACTTTTTTTAAGCTGAGTCATCCAGAACTTGTAAGCTGAATCATTCAGAATAAGCTGAGTCAGCTAGAATATAGACATTTAGACAACTTTTAAGAAGGCTATCTGCAACTCTATTAGCTTAACATGGGGATATCATCATATCGACTTTTCGAGACTTCAAACCGCTATAACTATCTAACCAGAAGTTAGATCGAAATTTGGTTTAAAGATTCTGATTCCTGAGAAAATTCTACCCTTAATTCATAACTCATACGTTAAATTTGGAGAATTTTTTAATTTGACCTACATTTCGGACACCATATCTCAAAAGTGGGTCAAAAAACTTTCTGACGGCAGAAGGCTAACACTATAAGCACACTCTTTGCTACCTGTATACAAAATTTTGAAGCAAATCCTTAAAGTGTAATGTCAGAATCGCAAAATAAGGAAAAACTATGAATTTGACCTAGATTTTGACTAAGGCATTTTTGCGTCCAAATTTTAAAGCTAGATAGTCTTCGATGTCCCCTCCTTTTATAGGCTTTCAGAATATTAAGCTGTACTCAGTCTATATCTGGTATTTTACACTTCAAAAAATCCTTTTTCTCATTGACATAACATGGGGCACCAAATTTAGCGATTTTTGTGCTTTCAAAACGCCATAACTTTCAAACCGGAAGTCGGATCGAAATTTGGTTTGCAGATTCGGATTCCTGACAAAATTCTATCCCTAATTCATAACTCATACGTTAAATTTGGAAATTTTTTATTTTGACCTACTTTTTGGACACGCCATAACTTCCGAACCGGAAGTCGGATCGAAATTTGGTTTGCAGATTCGGATTCCTGAGAAAATTCTACCCTTAATTCATAACTCATACGTTAGATCTGGAGAACTTTTTATTTTGACCTACTTTTCGGACACCATATCTCAAAAGTGGGTCAAAATACTTTCTGACGGCAAAAGGCTAACACTATTAGCACACTCTTTGCTACCTGTATACAAAATTTGGAAGTTAGTTATTCAAGTGTAGTGTCAGAATCGTAAAAATAAGGAAACACTATGAATTTGACCTAGATTTTGACCTAGGCATTTTGGTGTCCAAATTTTGAAACTATGTAGCTTTTGAGGTCCCCTTCTTTTATAAGCATTCATTATGTTAAGCTGTACTCAGTCTATATCCTGTATTTTACACTTCGAAAAAGTCTTTTTTCCCATTGACTAAACATAGGCACCAAATTTAGCGATTTTTGAGCTTTCAAAACGCCATAACTTCCGAACCGGAAGTCCGATCCAAATTTGGTTTGCAGATTTGGATTCCTGAGAAAATTCTACATCTTTTTCATAGCTCACACATTCGATTTGGAGCATGTTTAGGCGTGACCTACATTTCGGACGCCATATCTCAAAATCGGTAAGAGTAATCAAAATTCTGATGTCATATCTTTGATTCGCCTTTTTCTTAGCTACACGATGAAAAAAAGATGAAGGAGTTACGAAGAATATTGACGAAGATATGATGAAGAATGTTGAAAATGTAAGATTTGACCTAGTTCTTGACCTTTGACCTAGATAAAAATTTGACCTAATTTCCCAGAAAGCCGGTTTCAGTCTTTAGTTAACCATGTAAGTTGGATTAAGTAAACTGTTATAGTTGACGAGAAATTTGGTGAGGAGGAAGAAAAAAGAAAGAAAAATAATAATAATAAAGAAAACTGGCAAAAACAATAGACTCCAGATTTTCAATCTGGAGTCTAATTATAACATCTAGGCCTATGCAATGATTTTTAGGAACAGGAACTGAAATTTATGAATGATAATAATCATTATATCAATCATTATCATCAGATGATTAAATAATTATTCATTAGGCCCTCAATGATCTAAGAATGTGTCAAGTAGACAGAGCACTCTATAATACTCGAAGGGGACTCTTATTTACAATAGGGAGTTTAAGGTTGCAATGTTTTTCACAACCTAAACGTGAACGGAAAATATTTGAGCGATTCAATTATATGGGCGATTGGTCATATGTATAGGTTGGCGTTTCGATTTGATATACAAGCTTAAACTCCCTTTTATCTCAAGAAACAAACGTGTTCCTTATGAGTCTATTCTCCAAGTTAATCAGTCCATACGAAGGAATGCATTCCCAGCTAACAATTTTACGTTGTGATAACGTCGTCAGAATATATGTCTCAAGTTGTAGCAACGTTAATATGGAACGTTGTAGGTACAGGAAGGTGTGGACTCGCACAGATGTTTAAAGAACGTTACATTTGACTTAAATATCACGTGTCAGGAACGTAGTAGCGACCTTAACAATTACGTCGCCAAAATAACGAAACTGTAACGTACTTACATTACGTCATATATACGTGGCCAATCTAAATTTCTGGTAACGTTGATATGGAACGTTGTAGGTACAGGAAGGTGTGGACTCGCATAGATGTTTAAAGAACGTTACATTTGACTTAAATATCACGTGTCAGGAACGTAGTAGCGACCTTAACAATTACGTCACCAAAATAACGAAAATATAACGTACTTTCATTACGTCATAAATACGTGGCCAATCTAAATTTCTGGTAACGTTGATATGGAACGTTGTAGGTACAGGAAGGTGTGGACTCGCACAGATGTTTAAAGAACGTTACATTTGACTTAAATATCACGTGTCAGGAACGTAGTAGCGACCTTAACAATTACGTCGCCAAAATAACGAAACTTTAACGTACTTACATTACGTCATATATACGTGGCCAATCTAAATTTCTGGTAACGTTGATATGGAACGTTGTAGGTACAGGAAGGTGTGGACTCGCATAGATGTTTAAAGAACGTTACATTTGACTTAAATATCACGTGTCAGGAACGTAGTAGCGACCTTAACAATTACGTCACCAAAATAACGAAAATGTAACGTACTTACATTACGTCATAAATACGTGGCCAATCTATATTTCTAGTAACGTTGATATGGAACGTTGTAGGCACAGGAAGGTGTGGACTCGCACAGATGTTTAAAGAACGTTACATTTGACTTAAATATCACGTGTCAGGAACGTA